CATCTTCTATAGATGTGTACTACTCTCTCTCTCTCTCTCTCTCTCTCTCTCTCTCTCTCTCACTCTCACTCAATGAATTAATATTTCCTTGTGAATGTGTATATGGCTTGTGAATGTGTAATATTGCAGGTTATGGTTTAATGGGGTTGCATGGCTTTTGAATGTGTAATTGTTACAGGATACATCTTAAATCAGTATGCTTTGCTTGCCAATGTGTAAATGTTACAGTTGTTACAAGTTATGATTAAACGGGCATGCGTTGTTTGTAGATGTGTAATTCTTACAGGGTGCATCTTAAATTAGTGTGCGTTGTTTGTGAATGGTTATGGTTAAATAGGCCTGTATCATTTGTGCATGTGTGGTCGTTACAGGTTATGGATAAATGGTTATTCATGGTCTGTGAATGTGATTGTGTTACAGCGTCCGGTTGAATAGATATACATGCTTGTGAATGTGAAATTGTTGCAGGTTATGGTTGAATTCATTGTGCATGACCCGTGAAAGCATGTATTGTTCTTAAAAAAATTACTTTCTAGTAATCCTACATGACAATTTTTCATTTTTTTCCCCCTTTTATGTTGAAGTTCAATATAAGTCACTAGCTTGCGATAGGCAATGTCTTGTCAACGTTATTATGTAGTGTTTGTCTGGAGATCTACAGCACTAGGGAAGAATGTGAAAAGCAAGTGTTGCTTTATTCTGGTGCTGTATATTGTTCATTTAGGATATGACAGGAGGTGAAGACACAATAGTACTCATTTTTATTCGATTTGGTTAATGTGGACATGTTAGTACGATGATTATTACACCCTTATCACTTCATGGGCACCTAGTTTACGGCATTTTATTGGTATATTTACTCATGTTCGCTTCAAAACACTGGACGAGATATTCAAAAACAATATGTTGTGCTTGCTCTTGGACTTTATACTTTGTATGGATGGTGTAGTGTATTTTGCGGTGGGTGTACGTTGCGTTCTGCAGAGGGACTTGCTTTCAATCTCTTTTCAATTGATAAACATGAGACTGATCTAGTTTACTATCGATATTGTAATATGATTTATTTCTGCAACTATATGCCTCTCATAATACCTTGTTGATGGTAATGTCAGAATATATGAAAAGTTACAGGTGGTGTTCAAGTAAAGCATATGAAAAGATAATTTCCATCATGTGTGAAGAATCTAGATGAGAGCTTAGTATCGACAAGGTTAAAATGAAGATTAAATATTCAGGTGGGGAGATTAAAATGCTGTTAAATCAGCTTGGTTTTAAATTTGATGTAGTGACTCGGAGGATGACCTGGCTTGGTTGGGACGAACAATGTTGTCAAATACGCTTTGGAGTCTTCAACGGTTTGATGTGAAAAATGAAGGAATTAGCTGCATCGGCCGATTCGTGTGAAGACTTCGGACTATTTTCTTTTTAATATAAATAAATTAAATGTTTATATATAAAATTAATGAAAGAATAAAAAATAAATTCAAAAAAATAGAAAAATAAAAAAATATGTTTATATAAATACTTCTTTGCTTAGGCCGAAGCTTCGGCCCGAAACATACCTGAATCTGATTGAAGCAGTCCGAAGTGGCCCAAGCTAACCAAAGCAACAACACAAGGTTTCGCTTCGTTTTGTTCTAATCGACCGAAGCGAATCAAATTTAAAAACACCAGGGAAGAGCATGATATGCATCAATTCTTCCTATTTGTATAATGGTTTCGTTCATGGAGATGTCATGGCTCATGCACAATCTATGTTAGATGTTCATGCTCACGAGGACTAAGTCTTAAGATCTCGATAGCCTTTGACAAACAATTTATTAGGAAAGAGCTTGATATATTGGACTTCTATTAAAGAAAGTATATTGTTGGATGTTTTATGAACTCATAGTGTAACATGAAGACTAAATTCTTTGCAGTTTATCACTTATCTAATATGTGACTCAAATGTGATTCACGTACTACAATGTGGTTTGACACACACATGAGAGAGAGAGAGAGAGAGAGAGAGAGAGAGAGAACAATCAGGTTGATGAGATGATGTAGAGATCTAAAAATTTGGCATTACAATATGATTTGGCATCTAAAAGTGGAAAATGGGAAAAGAGAAAAAGGGGGAGAACGTAACTAAAAAGAAAATGGGAAGTCCATTGTTAATTATTAAAATTAAGTGAAGGTACAAAATAAAAAAAATGGCAGTATTGAATTTCTAAGATACACATCTCACGCAATCCAAATAGTGGATAGGCATCTTCCAGGTTTCTTAGTAGGTGCTATCCAAGTAACATACACCCCTATCCTCAACACAAGTCAATTTCAAAAGAAGCCAATTCCAGGATAGGCAGATCCCAAGGTCAAACATGCTCTAGGTGGATTATATATCGAAATTTGGAATCGCTCTTTAAAATCCAGACGTTCATTCTTTTGTAACCTCCACTGTTTCCTCTCGTATAATATGTTTGTTTGAGGATTTAAATTATCAAACAAACATATTATAGATGGGGAACAATTATTTTGCACAAGGAGAAATTATTAAAAGTTGTTTTTGGAGAAAAATTTTTCATTAATCTTGTCAGGAAAATTTGGACAATAAGGAAAAATAAAAGTTTCTTGGGTTTTTTTATTATAGGTAGTGTTTTAAAATCAATCCTAGGGCGGATCGTTCACATACTGATATGTGTTGGATCATTGCATCAGTGATTTGGATTAGGTCTAGATTGTCTGTCACACCCCAAGAAATTACAATACAGATATTCTTGAGATGTGACAGTCCAAAACATATATACATCTCTTGATAGAACAAATTTACAGTGGCGAGGTCTTACAAAGTAACAAAAGAAAGCTAGCACAACAACAATATCTTCCAAGGTTGATCTTGACTAGCACACAAAATGAATCCGTAGTTATCCTGAAAAAATGTTTACTATAGTATGATGAGTTTGGCTACTCAGTAAGTGATCATCATAATCCTAAAAATAATCATCGATGAAAGATATAAACAAACTTTCAAAATGGAAGACAATAAAAAATAATGCGAGCACTAGCATTTATAGATAACAACTTCACTTTCAGAAATGCACAATTAAACACAATCCAAATGATTGAAATGCATATAACACTTTAACGGCAGTGCATAATTTAAAGGATTTCACAAAATACCCTACTGGCGTCCTAAGTAGGTTCCCTATATACCCCATCAGCGTCATGATGGGTCCACTTAATCCCTATCGACGTCCCAGATAGGTCCACTTAATCCCTGCAGGTCCACTTATACTTCACCGGCATACCGGATGAGTCCACTTAATCCCTACCGGCGTCCTAGATAGGTCCACTTATACCTCACCGGCGAACCGGATGAGTCGACCTGTATACTAAAGTATTTCTAAATCTCTTTAAACATTCGAAAGCAGCAATATCATGTACTCAATATATCACTAAAATCATTAATATGAATTTCACTGAAACCATTAATAACAGTCACTTTCAATAATATTTTAAAAATAACGAATCAAATATTTGGGCTCAAATTTAGAAAGGTAGTAGTTCGTAAAGACATTCTAGCATAATTGCCAGTTTAATATGTATAAAAAAAAACTCTTATAGAAATTTAAAAATACGGAATTATCACAATTTATGGGATGTTTATTTGTAAATAAACATTTCATAACAATGCTATAATCAAATGCTAATTAGGCAATCATTTGCACATGAAATTTACAATGTCTAAATATTTAAAAACAGTAGAAAGAAATCTCACAATTTTACTAAAAGCAGAAATATCACATTTATTTCTAATAATTTGATAGTATCTAAAATTTTCTAACAATAGACAAGAAAAATAAATAAATTTATTTTTCTAAGAATTTACAGCATTTAAAACTTCTAACATAGATAAAATATCACAATTTTTATTAAAAAGATTATTTTTCAAGATAATGAGGTCGCGTGCGGATAAAATTTATCGCGCCTAAAATTCATGATAATAAGCAGAAATAATTATTTTGGTTTATTTTTAAAAAGAATGGATTATTTTTCGAGACAATGAGGTCACTTACACACAAAACTTATAAAATAAAGATCCTAGACGGAAATATCACTATTTATTAAAAACAGACTATTTTTCAAGAAGACGATATCACTTACCCACAAATATTTGAGAGGGAGCTTCCGATAAAAAATTCGGTTCGAGAGAGGAGTTCACTATGTTTCGACCAGAGAAAGAGAGATCTCAAAATTTTCTAGGGTAGGAGTGCTCACCTCCCCTAATTAAATTCTTATAACGTATTATTATATTATTTTATTAGGCTCTACCTCATACTTGAGGTGTCGCGTTAAAAGTCCGTTTTTAACTTATGAAAACCACGTCCACTAAAGGACGTGGCAAGCAGCAAGCAAAAGTTTAAACCAAGTAAAAAATTTTGA